GGTTCTTTTAAAGGGTTCAGGGTTTAGGGGTTAGGGTTGAGCTGGGTTCTTCTTCACGGGTTTTATCGAAGGCACCATAATTAGGGGTTCCTTCAAAGGATCTACACTCTGTAAGGTTAATTATTTAAGATACCATAATTAGGGGCTCCTTGAAAGCATCTATAAGAGCTCCGTAAGGGCTCATTTAAAGGGGTTTAGGGGTTAGGTGTTAGGGTTCAGCTGGGTTCTTGTTGAGGGATTTTATCGAGGTTCCTGAGTAGTACCCTTGAAGGGTTCCTTAAATTTGTTGTCAGGGCTCCTTAAGGGGCTCTATAAGGGATCTTTGGGGGTTTAGGGGTGTTATTCAAATCACCACAATCGGGGTCTATAGTAAATAGTATGGTTACCTTGTTATGATAACTTAAATACAATCTCTGAACAAGAACCCAGGCTCTTTTTGTTGAGGGTTAAGGGGGCTTAAGGGTTTAAAGGTTTAGGGTTTAGGGGTTTAGGGGGGTTCATGATTTAGGGGCTTGGAGTTGTGGGTTTAGCGGCATAGGGGCTTAGGATTTAGGGTTTAGGGGTTTGGGGCTTAGGGTTCAGCAGCACCGGATCGAGCATTCACAAGTCAAGCTGGTGGTTTCAGGCCTAGCGAAAAACCCACCTGCCCAAAGAATATTGAGAGAATGACACGGGTTGCATATCACCGTTTAATGTGAAATGTTAACAAACCGGAAGCTGTCTGTAGCAAATCTCAGTAGTTCAACAAAGATGACCAATTAGTCATATTCAGACAATCCTTCATACTTTGCTTCATGAAGCCGATATGCTGGAATATATAGTTCAGCAAGTGTTACTTCACGACCGAAGCAACCACAACAAATCGGTTCATCGTCACCACACAGGTCAGAAGGACCGCCAAAATCAGTATCAGTTCAACTCAGTTTCTTGAAGTACGCCCAAGAACCCAGCGCCAATCTAGTAAGATATAATCCTTCAGAACACGAGCCCGAATATCAGATAGTGCAATGTTGCTTAAGTTGAAGCATTGAAGCTAGCTTCAAGTCTTACTTGAGTTCAAGCCTAGAACTTGAAGATAGCTTCAAGAGCATCTACAGTGTCGTTGTAATGTATAAGACACAGCATACGCCATCACTTTCCGGATGCCCAGTACACACAAACCTCGCTCGACATCGGCGCCCAGCCCAGTCCAAACCTGATGCTTTACATTTAGCACCCAAAAGCCGCTCGACGAAGCCTGGAACCCGAACCGCGCCGTCGAGGTATATACTTTAGCCCTGAAAGTACCTGTACAGAGATTGCTTTAAGGCCAAAGTAGCTGTGACTTGGGTACATGGATCCTTAGGGAATGTTAAACCACCTCGCTGTCCCTCTCAGGAGCCAGGACGCCGCCTGACCTTCCCGGTGGTCTCACAGAAGGCAATGCGCATGCTCGAACCTTAATTTAGTAGTAGATATCCGTTAGCCTGTTTGGGGCACTATAGACCCTATATACTCCCAGAGGTTACCCTTCAGCAACCCTAGTGTACTGGACACGTAAGCTAGATCTGTACCTCAAAGCAAAGTAAACCCCATCAGGTTTGGCTTTTAGGTCTTGGGTGTCTGAAGGCTTCGGGAGTACATCACCGAGAGAGCAGTCTAGGGCAGCTGAGAAAGAATAGTAGTCGGTAGTGTTAGTTCAGTAATCATGAGCTCAGGATTCCATAGTGATTTGGCCTATCGTTCAACCCCCTCCCATGCCCAGCCTGATTTCTCTGGGAAGTGCAAAGCGCGCCGAATGCAGAATCCGGTCAGCCCTATGGCACCTGAAGCCTTAAACCTTATACACCAGTCACCAAAACATATGGGTAGTTGTGAAAATTCGGGTCCCTTTTTCGGTACCCTAGATATAAGGTGCCGAATTTATTAGGGACCCAAATTAGGTACCCCTAATTTTCGGAAACCCCCATATAGCCTATTAGATCGTTTGCAACTAGCCGGATCACAGGGCGTGGAATCAGGAGTTTGCTTTGGGGTTTTGGCGCGTCAGGGATGTCGATAAGCTGATTCTTCGTCGTCTGCCTTCAGTTCCAAGGGCGAACCTTTGCGAGTATATAGACGGGCTTGTATCTGCCCCTTCCAGAAAGGTTCCCCTAAGCGCAAAACTGTGGGGTTATAAAGGGCGATTATGTATGTGTATGCATATAACATATATACATGTGTACATACCACATATATACACGTAGACATATATATATATATATACACAGACACATAGATGCTCCAAGAAAGATTCAAGGCTACCTGCTTTACTCTTGAACTCCCTTCAGATACAAGGGGCGGTTTCAATATCAAGCATCGAAGCTCTTGAGGTTTCTCGCGACTCTTTATACGGCCTTAAAACCTTATAGGCCGTGGTAGTTTTCGGGAGTTTGGGGGTTGGTTAGGGGTTGAGGGTTTAGGGTCTGGGGACCCTAGTAGTAGATTAGGTAACCTTTAGCTTTTCATGGGGTACCATAGAACCCTGTATAATCCCAAAGGTCAACCTCCAGCTCCCCCAGACGACCGGACAACTAAGAAACCCTTGAAGTCTTTAAACAGGCAAAACGATAAACTCTCCGGTAAATCCTTGACTCTCTGGATTCATGCGCTTAAGGGGCTCGGCAAAAGGCAACTAGGTTATCCTGTAGACCCTGCAGTACATCGCCGCAGCCGTATGGGTAGCAGTGGGTGCAGGTGAGCCTGATGCTGCATAACCCCAAGATCCTCCCCCCCCCAAGTCCAATGAGTTCGAACCGTTCTTAGTTGTCCACTACCAGTGTTCTATGAGGTCAGCCCTGAACGCTAGACCGTACTTTCAGGACAAATCTTCCAAGGCCATGCAAGGATCCATATACCCATACTTTGGCCTTAAGTAGCCTGTTCTCAAGAACCCTAACCCTAAGGCCCAAAATAGCCCGAAAGCCTTGTAGAGTAGCGTCTTTGGGCCCAAAAGCCTTAAGATATGAGCATTGGGGTTAGGGACCCCCGAGGCGCCCTTTACCCTAAACCCTGGAACCCTTACAGTAGAAGCCAGAAAGTTGGAACATGGGTTTAGGAGGATTAGTGCTAGGATCCCTTATACTTGACTTTAGGGGCATGAAGATACTAATGTTCCAACTTTCTGGCTTCTACCATAGAGACCCCTGAGGCGCAGGGACCCCTAAGAAGGCGCCCTAAACCCTAAAGGGACCCCTAAGCAGGCGCCCCGTAGGGGGCGGCCATGGAAGGATGTGCCGTTGCGAGGCCTTCCCTCAGCCACCTGGCGCTGCAAGGTCCACCCGAGCCTGGGCATAGCTGAGCCGAAAAAGGGTTTAGGGGTTTAGGGTTTAGGGGTTTAGGGTTTGGGGGTTTAGGGGTTTAGGGTTTAGGGGTTTAGGGGTTTAGGGTTTAGGGGTTTAGGGTTTAGGGGTTTAGGAATTATAGGGGTTTAGGGTTTAGGGGTTTTGGGGGGGCTTTAAGCACATATAAGCAGCCTCGTGTCAGAAGCCCGTAAAGGGCATCTACAAAAGGCACCAGGCTTAGGCATTTAGAGCTTCCTTAGGGGTACTTAGAATTAATTTTTACTTTTGGGTTATTATAATCCTTAAGAAACAGCTGATTTTTTTTTTGCTAGGGTTCTAAGTTCAGTATAGCTTTGGGGGTGGGGTTTGTTTTGGTTTGGTTTAGGGTGGCTGATTAGATAACCTTTAACCTTTGGGGGTTTATGTAACCTTACCATAATTGAAAAGGTTGGCCTTTTTGGGGGCTTAGGTATTCAACCACTCAGAAAGTATGAAACTCGACGAAAACCTGCGAAAGCCTTATCTATGGCCAAAATCCCGAAGCTGAATTGAGAACCGAGGGCACGAGCTGGACTAGGCCTCGTCTTCCGGAGGATCGTAGCTGAATGCGTACATGTTTCCTTTTTGGTGAATTGCCATAAACCCCTGAACATAAACCCTAAGCCCTCTTTGGGAACAAGCCCTGAAAACCTTGAACCCTAAAGCCATAAACCCCTAAACATAAGCGCTACACCCTTAAACATAAGCCCTAACCGCCCTAACCCCAACTCTAAACCACTTTTTGGGGCATGTGAACTCACCATCTTCTGGAGGATAGGAGCCGGCTGGCGGCGCTCGCCTCCGGTCTGTCCTTGGCTTCAAGAGGACCTAATACTTCAGGGCTAGGGATAGTAATAGTGGTAGTAGTAGTAGTAGTAGTAGTAGTAGTCGTAGTCGTATTCGTAGTCGTAGTCGTAGTCGTAGTACTAGTAGTAGTAGTAGTAGTAGTAGTAGTAGTAGTAGTAGTAGTAGTAGTAGTAGTAGTAGTCGTAGTAGTAGTAGTAGTAGTAGTAGTAGTAGTAGTAGTAGTAGTAGTAGTAGCCGTAGTAGTAGTAGTAGTAGTAGTAGTAGTAGTAGTAGTAGTAGTAGTAGTAGTAGTAGTAGTAGTAGTAGTAGCAGTGGCAGTAGTAGTAGTAGTAGTAGTAGTAGTAGTAGTAGTAGTAGTAGTAGTAGTAGTAGTAGTAGTAGTAGTCGTAGTAGTAGTAGTAGTTAATGGTAGTAGTAGTAGTAGTAGTAGTAGTAGTAGTAGTAGTAGTAGTAGTAGTAGTAGTAGTAGTAGTCGGGGCTTAGGGTCTAGGTACTCATTGAAAAGGGTGTTGTACGATGCTCTTTGCCGTTGAAATACCCAATCGTGCTTCGTTGGTGCTTTGGGGTCTAGGTTTAAAATATAGGGGCTTGAATACTTACCAATACTATTTTGGGGTCCCATTATTATTGGTATAGTATAATACACCCCCAAACCCTAGTCTCGTAGTTGAGGCCCCCATCTGGGGCTTTCGGCTGCGGGGCCGTTCTTTCAAGGACTTCTTGACTTTAGTATTTTTGGGGACGAAACGGGCATTATGGTTTTTGAAGGGCCTCTAAGAGCAATCCAAATCCAGAGGACGCTTTGCAAGAGAGAGTCGGCCGTTCTACCGTACATGCCGACATGCGGTGGAGATGCCCGTGCGAGAATCTCCCACGCAGACCATCGCCGTTTCGGTGCCTCGCTTAGACGAAGAGGTGACTTAGATGGCCTACGGGAGAGCTTTGATCTTGTTGGCTTTGTATGCTTGGTCTATCCTAAACCCTGAACCCCTAAACCCTGAACCCCTGAACCCTGAACCCTAAAACCCTAAAACCCTAAACCCTAAACCCTAAAAGCCTAAACCCCTAAAACCCTAAACCCCTAAACCCTAAACCCCTGAACCCTAAAACTCTAAAACCCTACACCGTCAACCTTAAGCCTGGCCCAGTTATTGAAGAAGAGAGGTGAAGCAGAAACGCGCAGACCGTTATCGGCTATTGGTCTTCACTGAAATTCTTTTGTCATTTACTGACACAGACGGAGATAACATCCGGCTTCAGAAGGAAGGCATTGCCATCAACGAGTACGTGAATGACAAGCTGGAGATTCGTAGCATGCAGTGCCTTGCGTGATCTTGGGAGTTGTTTTTGTTTTTATTCTACTAAAACTCCGAGGAGTTGTTAAATCAATTGGTATGGTAGAATCCTCAGGGGTTATTAAAGCTGTTTGCTTCTGCTTCTACGCACACTTAAGGTACTTCGACATCGATGTCCGTGCCCGGTCATACCATGATCCGACAGGCCGAGGATGGTTCAGACCTTCAGAGGATGTGGAGGAGATTCCAGGTCCTTATTACCTTATTGTGGGGTCCTTATAATAAGGATCCTACCATTTAGGGTACGAAATAAGGGCCCCCTATCAGGAACTTCATTCACAGGGTTTTGGGGTAGTTACCATACTCTATTTTTGTTTTGACTTGGTCCCTGAGGTAACCATTATTATGGGAATAGGGTTTAGACTTTCTTCTCGCTGGTTGCTTCAAATCCCAATTCAAGGTGCCATACTAGAAGGTTCCTTTGAAGGTTCTATAAAGGTTCTCAAAGGTTTTAGGGTTTAGGAACTTCGTTCAAGTTACAACTCCCAACAAAGAGTCCATGTGCTCATCTAGTATATGTTTCGGCCTTTAACTAGTTCTGTAGAGGTGCTTTAGGTGCTTTAGGGCCAAAGTAAAAATATTACCTGATCATGCGTACATGGGCTTGTTTGGAAAAGTTACCCTAGTAGGGGTTGTAGTAAACAAGCGAGTTTCCTTCATATGGTACTTCAGTTCAATTCAATAAGAGCCCAGATTCCTGAGTAGTACCCTTTTACCCGTTTTAGTGTAGGCTTCTCCTTTTAAAAAGGGGCTCCTCAGGAACCTAGGGCCTGTATAAGTAGAATAAGGTTTTCGGGCACTACTATAATTACAATAAGGAACACCGAAACAAGAATTGGTAATTATTCTTATAAACCCGAGACCCCAAGAGCCCAGGATTGTCCGCAAGAGGGACCTCATGTTTCTGGAGCGTGACTTCCTGGCAAGGTGCTTGATGACTGTCTGTGGTCTCACCGAGAGCAGCGCGTATCAGGCTGCTCAGAAGTAGGAAATCTTTCAGGGTCACAAAATTACTTTTAAAGTTTATACTTATAAAAGCCCCAAAGGTTAACCAATAGTTCCCGGAAGAAAACCGGACCAGTAAGGTTATGATGACCGCTCACACTGAGGGCATGGCAGTGGTCGGGACGTATGCCTTCGAAACAGCCGAGTTGTACTGCACAGGTCTAAAGGCCAAAGGCCTGAGTGCCGACATTTTGCCGGTGGAGGATGGCGAGTAGTTTAGGGTTTAGGGTTTCGTGGGTTTAGGGTTTTAGGTTTCGTGGGGTTAGGGTTCAGGGATTTAGGAGTTTAGGGTTTAGGGGTTTAGGGTTCAGGGGTGTAGGACCACGAAACACACTGCAAGAACGTCATAAAGCATCCCTTCCTTGTCTCAAAACCTAACCCCAAGCCCCAGACCGGAAACCCGAAGCCTAAGCAAAGCCGGTGGTGTCTTGATAACGTGCCTACATTGCCAGACCTGGGTCCTGGCTGATGTCCGGAGAAAAAGCCACTCTGCAGATATGGGTATTCTACGTGTGTGAATGATTATGAATAAGAGTTCCTTCCATGTTCTTCGTTTGCTTGTGGTATGGTTTTGCTCAATAACATGCCTCAGCCCCATTCTAGCTACTAAATACCCTATACTAGTCGGTTTCTGCAGGTGAACTTCAAGCTGGGTAATCTAACCCCGAAACCGCTAAACCGCTTAGCCCTAAAACCCCTAAACCCCGAAGCCATAAAGCCCCAAATCCCAAAGACCCTAAAAGACTTAACACCCCTAAAGCCTTAACCGTAGAACACAAATCTAAAACCCCTAAACCCTTACCCCCTAAAAGCCCGGAACGTCTAAACACCCTAAACATGTAATCATCAAAACTGCTAAAAGAATCCGACAACCCTTATTACTAGGACCCAGAGTAGGCCCTTATTCCCTTTTTGAGGGTTCAGGTTCCCTAATAAGCCCCTTTAAACCAAAAAGGGCACCCTTTCTCTTCCTCTGTTATTCTTGGGTCTAGATTTAATCATCAAAAAAGCTAAAAAAATCCGAGAACCCTTATTATGTATCCTCAGGATCCCACAGGCTTAACACCCCTAAAAGCCCCAGAGGATGCAGTGGACAGTATACTCCTTGCGACATGAGGCATGTTTCCTATCTTTATGTGCAACCCCCAAAAGGTCCTCAAGTATCTAGTTTAGGGTTTCGGGTTTAGGATTTAGGGTTTAGGGTTTAGGACTCTAGGGCTTAGGATGTAGAGTAGGGTTTCTATGGCCGGAAGCTGATTTAACCATGGCTTAGGTAAGCGTTCCCCTACGTGTATGTACGTGTATGGGTACCTGCATGCCTGTACGAAGTTGTGCATGGATTTTGCATGCATGCGTGTATGTACGGATGGATGGATGGGTGCATACAGAAACCACAAACACTGCAACAAGAACCCTGGAGCCCCTAAGCCATCTCGAGCTTCGTAAGCTTTCTCTTAGCAAATCCCACCGTCGGGACCATTTTTTTACAGAAAGGGTAGGTTCGAGAGAAGGTTCTGCAGGGCTCGACTGCTGAGATCCTTTCAATAGTCTGCGCAGAGGTTTTATGGCCTCAGTAGCTGAGTGGATGCACTTTACACGTTTTGGGATGATATTACCCATTACCCACTATAAAACTGAAAGTGGACACTTTTGGGGGCTTATGAGCTCAGCAACTAAGTTGCAGACATGGGATCTTGAATGAGCCTGGTACAGGCATCTTTTCCTCAAACAAAGGCCTTGTTTCGGATGGTGAAGCTTCGGTTTTGGGGGTCGAGGCTGCCAAACGGAAGGGGGGTTTAGGGTTTAGGGTTTAGGGTTTAGGGTTTAGGGTTTAGGGTTTAGGGTTTAGGGTTTAGGGTTGCAGAAGGCTTGCGGATGTTTTGTCAAGTCAGGCATTTGTTCTATGGGGTGACTTGACTTGCAGTCAACGTGGTTGATGATAACTAGCTGAAAACAAGATGTCTGCAGCGGACGTACCAGTGTGACACCCTGCTTGGTGAGGAGCTTCAAGAAGGAACCCCGCCGGCATGTAGCATGCAAACCCGTGAGTTCAATCTTGCACAAACCTCCGAGCCCTGTGGAATCGATCCAAGATCCAAGATTCTTAGACATTGCGATCCGTGAGTCAAGGGTTGATTTGGTAGGTCTAGCTAGCCCTGCTTCACAAACCATCCTTACTAGATATGACTACCACTGAGCCTTCAAGCAACATTGATGCTACCCGCACCCGCAGATCCATCCGCGCCGACGCGTGCCGTGCGCCGCCCTGGTTGCAAGCTTTGTCGTCGAGGGTGGGGTCGGCGCTTTGCCTTGCGCGAGATGCTACGGTTATTCATTCGGCGTACAAGATTCATGTACCTTGATGCAACCTAAACCCAAACCCCCAAAACGTTGTTTTCAAGTGTTGAATCCGTGCGGAACCTTTTGCTACCAAGACCTGGTCAGACCGTGTAGTTGATGCAGCAGAAGATCGTCAAGTGTGTTACTCTTCATGTAATTCAGGGGTCGGAATACTCAGTTAGTATACTAGTCCCTTGTAGCCGCTATCATAAGGTTCCGACAGAACACATTCTAATGATTAAGGAGCCTATAGTACAATTTCAATCCAAGTCTCGTTACGTTTCCGTGTCTCAGTGCGTGCTACGTTGGAGGATCGGAGGATCCCAGGGTCAGCTCCGATGTTTATAGGATCCTTAAGGGAGGGTGGTTCAAGGGGTGAGGGTATAAGGAATCCTTAGGGGACTGTAAGGGAACCTTAGGGAGTACTAGGGAGAATTAGGGATCACTAGGCTATATACCCCCCTTGGACCCCCCTCCCTTAAGGATACTACAAGATGTGAGCTTGTGGCAAAGGCAAACAGCAACGGTGACGATAGTGAAGGTTTCAAGTCCCAAAGGGTCCTATGTACTGTTATGGGGAATACTTCCCTAAGTCATAATAGTAATTCCTAGTATGGAAACCCTACATTCTACTATATCGGTACATAGGACCCTTTGGGAGTGTATCAAATCCAGTCCACAAAACAGCGGTAGGCATTGAGCTTGTCTTAAGGGCCTTGTGGTCAGTGCACGGGTCCCAGTATCTAGGACCCAGAGTAGGCCCTTATTCCCTTTTTTAGGGTACAGGTTCCCTTATAAGCGCCCCTTTAAGCCAAAAAGGGCACCCTTTTTATTGCTAGGTTACTCTTGGGTCTAGGTATAGGATCTTGGACGGAGTGCTCTGGGGATTACCAGGTTACATAACATTGGGGCCCTAGTAGGTTCCAATACAGTACTATTTTGGGGTGTTCCTGATTATACTTTTAGTCTCAAGGGCCCCAAAAGCCTATTACAATCATGAAGGCCCCGACAGTACTCCCTTGGACCCGCTCCGTCAGGATCCCAGAATCCCACCAACGGTTTAGGATAAACTCTCAATTCCGAAGTCCCCAAACCCCTGAGCCCTATAAACCTTTGTGGAACCCTTGCAGCAGCCTGGGACGGAAACGGAACCAGGGTTCACCATCCCAGAATCCCAGCAAAGCAAAAACTATGCCCTGAGCATTGAACCCTAAACCTTACAGAAACCTAACAATGCAGACTTAGACATTGAACCGCAAACCTTTACTTAGGGCAACCGTTAACCTTTCAGCTAACCTTTTGGGGTTCATACTCTTATGTTCCTACCATACTTGATAAGGTTAGCCTATTTTGGGCTAGGGTCCAGAGGCCCCTAAACCTAAACCCCCAAACACTAAACCCTTAACCCCTGTAAGGGTACTCTCTAAACCCTGCAGCGAAGGAAACTCTGAACTCAGAACCCCTTTATGTAGGATGCCCAGTAGTACCCTTATTCCCTTTTTGTAGTCCTAGGTTCCTTATAAAGTTACCCAATACCAAAAAGAGAGGCCTTTTTATTCTTAGGCTACTGGGCATCCTAGCCTAAACCCTAATCCCTAATCACTAAACCCTAATCCCTAAACCCTAAACTCTAAACTCTAATGCCTAAACTCTAAGCCCTAAGCCCTAAACCCTAAACCTTAAGAAGCTAAACTCAGAACCCCTTTATAGAACCCTCATGAGGAGCCTGGGCAGCCCGAGAGTCCCACTCATGTACCCCTTTAAGGGGAACTCCAGAAAGCTTATTGGCTATAAACTCAACTTTTCAACTTTTGGGGTTCTTATGAGGTAGTCCATTCTGAAAGTTTCAACTTTTATTTCCTTGGGTTTTGGGCCAGTGAGTTAAGGGGAACTCCAGAAAGTTGGAATATGGCTTCATGGTAGGATACCCTATAATTTGCCATAAAGGGCTTAGGATAATCATATTCCAACTTTCTGGCTTCTACTGTAAGGGGTCCAGGTTCCTGAGGTACTTAGTATATGTATCCCCTATACATCCTTAAAGTGCTGCTTAAAGGGTCCTTTAAAGGGTTCTATAACGAACCTAAGGGGGATTAGGGTCTTTCTCCTAGGTTCCGGAGTAGTATCCTTTTGCCTTAGTAAGTAGGGTTAGTAAGGTGGGTTATGGGGATTATAATAGGGTTTCTAGGGGATACTAAGTAGACTTACTAAGTCAAAAGGGCCTCCAAGTCCTTCCTAAAACAAAACTGTCGGAAAACGGGTATCCTTATTGTAAAGGGGCTACTCAGGAACCTAGGGGTCCTTTATTGGGGTTTGGGTTCAGGGTTCAGGGTTGAGGGTTTCTTTAACTTGTTTAAGGGTTTCTCTAAAAGTTTCTTTAAGGGATCCTTTAAGGGATCCTCTATGGGTTCGTTCCTCTGAGGGGTCCTTTAAGGGGTTCTTTAAGGTTTCGTGAAGTTTAGAGGGGTCCCCGAAGGATTCCTGCAATTTCTTCTTTAAGGGTTCTACAAGGGTTTAGGGTTTACGGGTCCATGTAGCCAAGTCGTATATACTTTGGCTTTAATGTACTCCTCATATAGGGAGTTAGGCTTTGGGAGCTTAGGAGTTTTGGGGGTCGGGGTTTAGGGGTTCAGGGTTTAGGAGCGTTAGGTTCAGAGTTTGGATTCAAAGTATGTACTATTTAATCGGTTTAGGGTTTAGGGTGTACTATTTGGGTGCATGGACCCTTAGGGGGTTTAGGGTTTAGGGTGTACTATTTGGGTAACATGGACTAACTTAGGGATTGTTCGTGGAGTGTTCGCTTGGAGGTTTCAGGGCGGCCAAGGGGCGCACCTTTGGGCCATTGTAGGGTTCATGGCTTGGGGTTTTAGAGTTT